TTTTTGGGGATATATAATAACAGTAACTCATTGAAAAGTACTAGTAGGAACGGTAGAACTTTTTAGGTTTCCAAGTGTACTAGCCGCTTTTACGAGGGTTGATAGTTTTTCTGGGATGGCTTTTGGCATATTTTTCGGGTTCTTTTCTTTGTGTATTCAATTGTAATGATTTTGTCCAAAAAAGGGGGAAAATGCACACTCCTTAATGATAATGCACTATGCTGGACAGGTGAGGGCGCACCTTATGGAGTCGACATCAATACTGGGGGCATTGCTGATTCATTTGCCAACTTTGTTTGGGAGCCAGCAGTCGTGAAGGTTATTTACATTCACTTCTTTTTTTTGTTGATAAATTTAGTTTAGCTTGTTATTAATCAACCACTCATCTTTTGGCTCTTGTTTTTACTAAAGTATCAGCTTTTCAATGAAAATTACTTTATCCAAAAAAAAATAATCTAAAACATCAGTTTTTTCGTAGGTTATTCTTGTTTCCTAAAAATACTTTACAAACGATTTCTACTTTGTCCAGATAAATGCCATCAATGCAGCCACTGAAGCAGCATGCCTCATTCTGAGTGTAGACGAGACAGTGAAGAATCCTAAGGTAATTTCGACTTTGTGGAACCACCTTCTTCCCAGCTTGTCTACCACAATGGACATAATAGACAAGTGCATATGGGGTTTTGCAAGTCACCTTTTTTTTCTGCTTTTTTTTTTTGTCTTCAAGGTTAAGTTGCTTTAAGAATCACAACAAAATTCACAACTTCCAATGTTGCAGGAATTTTCCTGCCTCCCCTTGTCGCACTTTTCTGTTGATAGTTGCTCAACAATTCTTGCTGGAAAAAAATAACCTAGTAATGATGCAGTAGCTCTTCTGAATTTTGTTGACTAAGGGCGGGACTTAAGATCCTTGCAGCCAAGCCTTAGTGGCAAGGTTGTTAGTTGGTACTTTGCACTTTAGGACTGGGCAGGTGTCAGGATTTTATCTGATTCCTTGTTACTCCAACAAAGCATAGTGGAAAAGGAAAAATAACAAAGATGTGGATGGAGAGAAACTTTGTATGGTGTCATTTAGCCTTAGGCTGACTAAGTCAAAGCAGTCCTGTCACTGAAGTCTTGCAGTCTGAGCTAGATGAGACGCGACTGTAATGTGCGAAGGTGTTTTTGAGTGCTCCTGCATCTCTCAACTTCCTTTTTTTGATAACTTAGAAACCCCTGAGGGCAAGTTGGCGTAAAGTTCGAAACTTGGTGGATAATGAGCCTGTTCCTTTACAGTTTTCCTCTTCAATGCCAGGCTTTTGTCTGTGGCTCGGTTCGAACTCGTGACATGCACCTAACCCGCATCATGTACTGCTCTACCACTAGACGATAGCCTTGGGAGCGTCCCTCATCTCTTAATTTTCTTCCCTTTACAACAGTATCTAAGATCTTAAAAAAGGCTGGTTCTTTGAGGAGCTATGGCTTCCTGACAAGCTGAAGGGATAACATGCAGACTACCTCTGTTGTTGTCTAAGAGTTTCTGGATCTAAAAAAAGATCAAATTAGTGTAAGCTAGTCCTCTTCATGATGACAATCTGCGTCTGTAATTTCGGTGCTGTTCTAGGTGAAGCTTTGTGGATTACTTTAGGTTTTGATCTTGCTCATCAGATTTTGTTTTTGCTTGTGTTGGATATGTTCATCGTACTTGTATGCGTCCTTACTTGGCTGGAAGTAATTCCTATCTCCTTTGAAATTGCAGTCTGAGAGTGCACAAGGAGATGCTGCTGCAAGTGCTATGGGTGGGAGAGGGCGTGGAGGTGGTCGCGGTCGTGGAATGAGGCGGCGATAGATCACAAGTTCTTTGCAGATTTTGCTATGATTTTCATTTAGACTTTTTTGCGTTCACTCCTGCTGAGATGAAATAGAAAGAATGCAAGGAAAAGAAAGGTGGGAATCAAGCGGGTTGACCCCTTGATGGTACGCCATCTTCATATATGGCGTGATTCCAAAAATTGTTCTCCAAATCTGGCTGATGAGCTTATTTTTATTTGTGAACTAATTTCCGGGTTTTTGCAACTGTCATCTTTCCATCGTCTGCTAATGTAATGTTTTTCTGGTTCTCTCCCCTGCGATATTTAAATCAGTGTAGAACTCCCTTGTAAGCCAATGGAAAAAATGCAACCTTGACCAAAATGTTAAAATTTGGACCTCGATTCTTTTGATTCCTGGGAATTAAAGCATCCCCGCTGTCATTTTTGCTGGTGTATATATGCAGAAATCCATTCAGAAATATACTCCATCGGATCATGAAATGCTCACAGATATGCCAAATAAAAGATTTAAAACCAACTGCTTTACAATCAATGCAACTCCAAACAGCTACTGCCACAATTTAGAGCATTGTCTAATTCCAATTGCATATGTAGGATACAGAAAAGGTCCAAATATACCCTTGTCCTTCGTTAATACTTTAGCCCATATATGCCGTTACGGTCACATAATTAATCCATATATGCTCAAGTAGTCTAATTTGCTCTTTCTTTAATTGTATTAAAGTACACTATTTCCTTTCTTCTTTTTTCTTTTCTTCTCTTTTTTTTTTCTTTTTCTTTCTCCCATATCCGACTTCCTCCCTTGGTGATGCCTTCTCCATTTTCGTCACCAATTTCACGTGATTTTATTCCTAAAAATCAAACCTACACCACCAAAAGCTTCCCAGCGAGGCCCTGGTTCTTCTGAAAAGAAGGAGATGAAAATTGTTGGAAAAATTTCGGTGGTGTTAATTTGGTGAAGGTACGATATGGTTATTCAAATTTTGAAGGTGTTGTTCACTGTGGATCATCAAATCTGAAGGGAACAAGACCTTCAAAATTCGAATAACCATATCCTACCTTCACCCAAGTAATACCACCAAAAATATTTCTCCGACAATTTGCATTTCCTTCATGTCAGAAGAACCTATGGGGTTTGTGATATTAAAATTAGCAGGAATTCATGAGTTTTGTCAAGTGAAATTGGTGACGAAAATAGAGAAGGCATCAGCAATGGAGGAACTCGAATATGCGAGAACGAAAAAGAAAAAAAAAGAGAAGAAAAAGAAAGAAAGAAAAGAGAAAGGTAAAGAAAAAAGGTACTAATAAAAAGGAAATAATATTTGTAATATACTTTAGTACAATTAGCGAAAGAGCTAATTAGTTTGGATGGATTCCGTTTCAAAAAGAGCATATATGGACCAAGTTAGGGGTGTACATAGGTCGGGTTGGTTCGGATTTTACAATTACCAAACCAAACCAATAGTGTCCGGTTATTAAATCTAAAGACCGAACCAAACCAATAAAACTCGGGTTTTTCACTCTCGGTTTTTCTCGGTTTTTCGGATTTTTCGGGTTTTTTTCCGGTAAAATCTTCGTAGAACAAAATATATAAATTGTGCTCAAAATATTTCTTTAGTCCTAGTAAGATACAACTATATAAAGCATCTTCTAAGAAAATAATACAAAATATGAGATATGTCATGGCATTATCCTAAAATATTCAACAATAAAGACAATAAACTTATGTAATATAAATGCCGCTAATTAAAAAGCCATAATAAAAATAGACATAATCTAAAAGTACTAAGTCATGCTAAAATAAGTAGACTAATAAGGGAGTATTAATTACATGACTAAACGCTAAAGAAAAACTAAAAATATGTTATGCATTTTTTTCTAAATTATTGCAAAACAAAAAATAGATATTCAATACATTCCAGTTCGTAGAATTGTGTTGAACGTCTTTTGTTAGCATTACTATTGATTTGATTTTGGTTTGGGTTTTTGTTAGCACTATTTAATTTAATAATGTTTCAAAAGTTCTAAATCCAACCTTGAAATAATACCTCAAAAGATAAAATTATGAAATCCTTTACGAAATATTTATAAATTACATCACAATAAGTATATTTATATATTAAATATATCTAAAATTTCTATATATGTAATGTCGGATTGGTTTGGTTTCGGTTTGACTTTCTTTAGTTAAAACCAAACCAAACCAATTATGGTCGGATTTTTTTTCTCGGTTTGACTCGGATTATCGGGTTGGTGCGGTTTGTCGGTTTCCTTCGTACACCCCTAGGACCAACTATGTGACGGTAAGGGCATATATAAGCTAAAATATTAACGAAGGGCAAATGTGCTTAATTTCGTATAGTATAAGGGCATATTTGGACCTTTTCCGTTTAGGATAAAAGGAAAAGAAGTCATACACGAAAAGGGATTTTGCAAAAAGAAGTAAGAAATAAATTAGTAGAAAGTGGTAAATCGATCTTCGTTGAAATTGAAAACAGAGTGATTATGCATTTGTGCAACTTTTCATGTTCTGGCATATATAGTACCTTATGTTACTCTTCATACCACGTTCCAGCTCCAGCAAACCAATTTATTGTTCAAGTTCAAAGTATGATCCAGCATCCTACATTGAGCTAGCCTGCGACTAGGAGTGACAAACGGGCGGGTCGGATCGGATATGGTTCGGGTCGAAACGGGTAATGAAAAAATGGATAAATTATCCGGCCCGCCCCATATTTAATACGGATAAAAAACGGGTTAACCGGCAGATAATATGGGTAATCATATTATCCACGACTTCTTGTATATGATCACTTTTGGGAGAATTCTTAGTCTCCCTAACTTGAGGAACCCCCAATTTGAGGCCTTACAAATGTAAAAGTTAGACCCATTGGTTATCGATTTTCTCAATGGATAATATGGTTCTTATCCATATTTGACCCGTTTTAAAAAGTTCATTATCCAACCTATTTTTTAGTGAATAATATAGGTGGTTAACTGTTTTCTTTTAACAATTTTGCCACCCCTACCTGCAACTCCTTTAATATCTTTGAAAGACCGATAGCATTCAGAAGTATCCATACACAAGTTAATCGGAGAAGGGCTTAGCATTGTGAAGTTCGTGCACGACAAAAGATCCATCACATATTCGTTGCTTTCTGAACTTTATAAAACCTAACTTTACAAATATACTTTTTGATAAGAATTTTATTGATAAAAAAGCATATTGTGCTGGACTATGCACATGACCGAGACCTTTGAATCTATTACAGAATATACATAGGACATCACAACGTTGACTAAACCAATTCAACTCGTTTACTAATATTTTCTATAAGCTGGTTTGCACTCAGCACGGCGTTCTCAACTGGAGTTCTACGCTTGACAAGCTGCCTTGGATTTCGACATGTCTGTAATATATCTGACATTTCTTCAGCTTTCTCAATGATGGATTTTCTTCTCGTATGCGAAGAGTCTCCATCTTCAATATATGTGTTGGGTAACTTCTCAGAGTGGGGTGTAGAAACCATCATGTCTCTAAGTTTCTGTACCTTTTCAGTCATTCCTTGTTTTTTGAGATCATTGCACATTCTCTGATATGTAAGATATTGAGGAACTAGTCCTCTCCGAATCATGTCACGAAACCACTCAATAGCATCATCAAATCGATGCATCTTGCAGAATAAATGTATAAGCATGGTACTTGTAGCTAAGTCCAAATCAAAACCCTTTGCCCTCATCTCTTGGATAATTTGCATTGCCAGATCCAATCTATCCTGCTCACATAGCATCTTTACCAGCAGATGGTATGTTAGTCGATCTGCCACGTATCCAGATTCAATCATCTTGGTATAGAGGTTTAAGCCTTCTTCAATCTTCCCAAACTTGGAGAAGTACCGAAAGAAGTAATTATAAGTTGTTGCTGTTGGCATAAAACCTATATTTATCATCATCTTAAGAATCTTACTAGCCCCGATAAGATCTCCTGCCTTGCAGAAACCTTTCACCAACGAATTGTAAGTTGACAGAGTTGGACCAGATTCCAAAACCGACAGCCTCTCCATCATTCCTGATGCTTCCTTGAACCGCCCAGCTTCTCCTAATGCATCTATTATTGGATTGTAGACAATTGCATTGGGCTCAATTCCTTCCTCTTTCATCTCACCAATCAATTCAATTGCCATCTCAACTCTCCGCATCCGGCATAATCCTTCGACAAGGGTACCATAAGTTACAACATTAGGTTTTATGCCCTCCTTTTTCATCTCAGCCCACAACCGCTCAGCTTTCTTGATCTTTCTTGATCGAAACCATCCATTTAACAATATATTATAGGCCCGAATAGATGGCGACCAATTTGAGTCTTGTCCTTTTCGTCTATAAAAATACTCAGAAGCTACCTTCACATGCCCCTCTTTGCATAAAGAATCTAATAGTATCTCAAATAAGTTGTTCTCCAAGCCCGCAGCATGTAAAAAGTCTATATTTGAAGAAAATTCATATGTTCGAATTGCTGGTAAGAGCATACCTGCAAAGACAAAAGGATCACAGTACTCATCAGATGATTAGAACTTACATATGTGCACCAAATATCAAGTGGCCAAAGATTCAAAATGAACCGACTTATAAATCACTTGAGAAGAATTGAAGATAATAGCAGGAGATCTCTCCTCTCCTCTCCTCTCTCTTCCCCCCCCCCCCCCCCCCTCCTCTTGCAAGAAACTGTACTCCAGATGAAGTATGCAGTTGGCTTTCCGTTCAAAGCCTTAGATTCTCAATCGGTTTTTTTAGTGGGGAAGAATAGTGCCGGAAGGGAGCGAGACCAAACCGAGCGACTAGTAGAATAAGCCCTGACAGATCTTCGTCCCATTTCATGGATGCATCGCATTGAGAATTGACTCGTTAGATTAACCATTTAGACCTTTGGTAGCAGGTTGCAGCTTGCACATGCAGGATCCCCCAGGAGGTCAACTTGATCAATACTATTTTCTATCGTTAAAGTGGAGAACCGAACCAATTACGTTCCCTGAGCTATCGCATGGTTAAACTTCTCGGGCTCGACCCCATGACACAATTCTGGGATGAGGTGAGAAGAAAACAGAAAAGTTAGAGTTTTGAAGAAACCTACGGGAAAGTCAAATCATTTCATTTCGACAACGGCCCAAACGAAGCAAACCATTTCTGAGAGACCTCGAGCGTAATACATGCTACTTGAAGCGAGCTACTTTAACTGCCAAAGGAGCGGGGCAACTCAAGTTAGACGAGAGATAAGGATGTAATTTCAAAGAGGCTTGACCGAGATGAATCAAAATATAGCTACTACACCAAAACTAGGTGCAAAGAACCAACCAGACTGAACTAGTGGATAAATCAGAAATACAGGGAAAAAAAAACATAGAAAAAGAAAGGCAATTTGGCATTATGACTAACTCCAATAATTCCAAGTTAAAATTCAACATGTGATACATCTCTCTTATATTATAAGAGAAATGAATTATCATGTCACTTTTAGGCCGAACATGATCAAATTATGGTACATATGAGTGCCTTTCCAAGTTGCTCGGACTCTTCATTTACGGTGCCACACTCGTGTCAACACGACGTGGGTGTGGGTGTGGAATCCATACTGGATCTGGTCAACTGACTATGGATACATTGGCCAAACTCAACAGAGAAATTCGGGACAGATGTAATAATTTATTTTATGAAGAGATACAATGATTTCTGAAACTAAACAAAAGTTAGGGTGAAATCAAAGAAAATAGAATACCTTGTAGATAGAAATTTTCATGTTAGTCCTTTTCTTTTTATCTCCTCAGATTCTCCTCTTGATCAATATTTTCTCCTTCCCGGAATTATCTCATAACAACTTCTTGTATAAGTTTATTTTTTTTTTTAAAAAAAAATAAAAAATTAGCAGGATGTACAGAAACAACTAGTACTCAAAATCCAGCTCAAAGCCAGAACTTGTGAATTTGTAATAAACTGGAGCACACAAATTACTGGGGAAAATAACAGAAGTAAATTAACAAAGAAATTCAATAGTAAAAAACACCATGACTTCGCCTATTGCAAGCATAGCTGATCTCAACTATGGAAAAAGGAGGAGGATTTCAGCAAATTGACAGCCAATCCCCCGAATACTAAATTTTTCAGGAGGGATTGAACTGAATAGAGCTGAATTGACACATAGTATACATATATTCAACCCAAACTACTTTTAAATTGAGGTGCAGTTAATTCATTGATTGAATTTTTAAACATTTTTATGTATGATTTTCGGAAAATAAAACCAGTACCTGCCCTTGCATATCGTCTGATCAATATGGAAAGTGTATCAAGATTGGGTCTTTCAGTAGAACTGAGTCTATCAAGTATCAAATTCCAAGCAGAATCAAATTCCCTTCCTTTCCCAAGTGCATTAACCATAGCATTAAACACAGTAACAGAAAACTTAAACCACTCTTTCTTCTCAGCCCACAAGTAAAGGGTAAACAAAGGCTTAGGAGAAGAATTAAAATGGGTGAAAAGTTGAAGAAACATAGGCTCATTAACTTCAAAAATCCCAGCTTTATCCAATGCATTTTCAAGAATAGGTCCAGGTGGGATGGTGAGGTCACTGAGGAGGTCACATAGGGTGGTGAAAGTAGTGGGGCAGTAATTAGGGGTGGTGGGGTTTTGGGGTTGGGGTGAAATGAGGGGGGTGGGTTGTTTAGGTGGGTGGTTCAATGGCCATTTCATTAGGGGCTTAACTCGTGTTGATTTCAGGTTTGAATGGGTTGAGAAGAGCTTTGAATTAGGGTTTATTTGGGTAGTGGTGGGATGTGAGAGAAGAGAAGTTAGAGAGATAATGGAGCGGCGGATGTTTAGAGCTTTCATAGCTTTGCTCCACAATCTAATATATAAGAATCTTATACTAGTTTATAAATTAAAGCATTTGATGAATTTGTGTATCCACTGTTTCTGTAGTTGGATTTGTGTCTGCTCATTGGAAAGAAGCAGTGACTGAGGTTGTAACTATGGCGGATTGGGGTTTTTCCTGGGTTTATACAGATGAATTGTAGAGTTGAGTACAAAACTACCGGAAACTTTTGTGATAACTGGTATTTCTCTCTCAAATTAAATTTGTTATATTTTCACTCTCCTAACTTGAAAATGAATGGCCTAGTTGGTTTGGAGGGCGGGGATCGATCCCTTAAATGTTTTTTGGGTCGAGGCTATTACATGGGTATTTACCCAGTGTTCACCCGAAGGACAAATGTTATAGCAGCTGCGAATTTTTCTTGGTAGGGAGTGCTTCCCCCGAATGGGACCTTATGCGGCGCGAATTCGGATATAATCGAGCTCCAAAGAATACGGATATAATCGAGCTCCAAAGAATACCGGACGTCGGATAGGAAACCAAAGAAATATATATATATATANATATATATATATATATATATATATATATATATATATATATATATATATATATATATATATATATATATATATATATATAAGTGGAAAGCTCATAAGTTAAATGTTGAATTACCAAATTACCCTTCTAAATGACATAAATATTTTATTTAAGAAATACATAAATATAAAAAGAAGCTAATATATTTAAAGTGTCCTTTCTTAAAAGTTGTGTCCATTCAATTTAGGGAAGGATCTGCCCTATTGTGATTGAAATTGAATGTTTACGGCCATAATCAAATTTTATTAAAAATTTAAAAATATATTAACTCTCAATATTGATTTATAATTTGGAAAAACTAATTATGGGAAGCCCAAAACTCAAAAAGTAAATTACTTAAATACTCTTTAAATAATTTAAACTATTTAAATAAAAAATACCAATTTATTTGAAGGGATACAATTCTTTATGTGAGTATTAGTTACTAATGTTTAACCGTTGCTGCCTTTTAAATAAAAAAGTGAAACAGTTGGCCTTAAAGCTAAATCAAACTCTTTGCATTGCCTAATAAGCTTTATCAATGATGGTAAAGTTACTTTCTTTTCTATACTTGTTTTAAGTATAAGATACGGTAATCTCCTCTATTTCTCCTTTGAGTTTGTTTTTGTTTTGATTATTTAATTGATAAATAATTATTTATAGAAAAAATTGTTGTTAGTATTATTTATTTGTTTCCATGTACTATTACTTTTTCTAACAATATAATTATCATTATCATCACATTGCTGCAAATATAGTCCATTTTCCGTAATTTTTTTAAACCTTAGTATTACTTATTTTACTTCAGATATTGGTGATAACTAAAAAAAAAAAATTTCCTCTACAATAGCAATATCTAATAATCTGATAAAAGCACTTGACAAATACATTAAGTCGTCATGCAAATCCACATGAAGTAGGTGCTGGGGAATTAAGCCCTATTAAAGCTCTAGATATCAATTATCCAGGATTAATATTTGAAACAACCATGAATAATTACTACTTCCTCTGTTCAAAAAGATTGAGTAAAATAATCATTTTGAAACGAAGTATACGTTTCTCTATTATTATGGCTACAAAGAGAAACAAACTTAGATGAGTAATATCAAAGAAAAATAATTTGTATTACCCAAGAAATGTTGCTAATAACAAGCAACTCATATCAGACATAAACTATCCTTCAATCTCTATATAAAAATTTAAGCAAAATCAAGGGTTTGTAAAGGTCAAAAGAGTTGTCACAAATATTGGTAATTCTCCAAATTCCACATATTGTTTCACCTGGTTTGATGGGAAGAAAGTACCTCAAAGCTACAAAATTGAAATTTTAACGTGGCCACATGGATCTGATAAAGCGAGGTATATCGTATTTGCAGTGAGCATTAAACAGTTTACAATTTGTATTTTGTTGAGGGAGGAGATATCATTGTAACTTGTAAGATATTCTGATCCCTAGCTAATTTACAAATTGAACAAAATAATGTCAATTTTCAGTTCGAATAGTGTTCTTCTAAACTCTTGATATTTTCTAGCTTTTTGCTATTTATGAAACTATGAAGCATAATATTTTATTTTCATGCATTTCTCTCTTTTTCAATGAAGATAAATACTCCTTCCGTCTAATTGCAGCTTTAGCTCTTTTAATGTCCATTTAGAAGAAGAAAAAAATATAGCTTACTAAATATAGAGGTAACTTAGTAAGCTATTCCTTTTAAAAAAAACTTAAAGATTATATATATAAATTTATGGTCAAAGTTAATAAGTCTGACTCTCGAAATTCGAAAAGTATTATCTTTCTTGAAACGAAAGGAGTACTACTTTAATACTAACGGTATAGTTGGAAACAATTGATAAATTTAATTTTGAATTCCTAAGGTGACAATTATTTTGAGATAATTTTTTGAGTTAAAACAACAACTAAAATGGGACGGAGGAAGTAAAGCACATGGACAGACAATCTTCAATATTTGGTTTGTATCCGGCACTCATTTTTTTACATGGTCCTCTTTACGTACACTTTTAAGAGAGGATATCAATTTCATTAACAAGAGTCCTTGTAGTGATAATACAACATCTAATGAAGAAAAGGAACTTACACCAGAAATATAATCTATAAGGAAGTATTAATTAGGTGAGATACACTTCGTTACATGTTTGTACTTCATACATCCAAAATAAGTTTAAAAAAACTCATTTGTCTAATTAATCTTTATTGTTCATCATCATTTATAACCTGTTCGGGCAAGCTTCTTTTTGGCCAAAAGTGATTTTCTTGTTGTTGTTGCCAAAAGTGCTATTTTTCAAAGTTGAGGTGTTTGGCCAAGTTTTTAGAAGGAAAAAAGTACTTTTGAGTAAAAGAAGTTTTTGAGAAGCAGAAAAAAATAAGGAAAATTTTCGTATATATACCATATATGAAACTATATTACCAAATATGTTCATAGTTTGCATATTACCATTCATGCTAATAGTATTTCTACATAATATATACAATGCATTAAAAAAGGAATCACTGTACCTTTATGATTCCTTATTTAGGCGCGGTAAAAAAGGGAAATTAAATATTCTTCCAGATCTTCCGCAACGCAAATCACGCACATTAATCTTCTTCGTCAGTTTCGTTTCAAATTTAGCGTCTCTGCTTTTTCGTTACACTGTGTTTCAAACCTTTTTTCTGATTTCACAAATCAAAAACGACTAAATCTTCTACAATTCTTCTACATCAAACGCAATTATGTCCAAATTTCAGTAATACAAAGGAAAGGAAAAGAGAGTAGCAATTCCACCATTGACAGCCATTAAAAAGCTTTGAAGCTTTGAATTGAAATTTGGGTTTTCAGATTTTATTATTTGTTTGGATTGGGTGTTGTTGCAAATAATTGGGAATATGGTTTGAAGTTTATATCTCAATTTTGAGGGGTTTTGGTGAAGATTAGACTTGGTTTTGGTTGAATTTCGGATTGAAACTCGAAGAAGAAGAAGAAGACATGACATACATTATGTTGCAGAAATTGTAGAAAAATTATAGATAAATTGTAGAAAAATTGTAGACTGTTGTTTATTTATTTTTCTTTTATTCATTTACCTATTTTATGAAAGTTGAACAACATTGTATAAAAATTGTATTTAAATGGATGATTTAGTACTGTTTTGGACAAAAATATGTATAAAAAATATGAAACATACATTTTAGGGAAAGCATGTCGAGTCCAAATATATACCCAGTTTGTAGATATTTTGTAGATAAATTGTAGATTATTTGTATTCTGATTGTAGATGCTTTATCTTCTATTTTCACAAATGAAAAATGTCTAAAACTTCTACAAATCTTCTGAAAAACGCAATTATGTCAAGAATCCCAATTATGCTACAACTGAATGGGAATTGGGATATTAAAATTTAATGTACCCAGTTTTTAGATATTTTGTAGATAAATTGTAGATTATTTGTATTCTGATTGTAGATGCTTTATTTTCTGTTTTCACAAATCAAAAACGACTAAAACTTCTACAAATAACTGTCATTGTTCACACATCACATGTGGATTGGTGGATTTCTCATAGTTGGTGCTGCCGCGCATGCAACCATTTTTATGGTAAGAGATTATGATCCAACTACTCGGTATAACGATCTATTAGATCGTGTCCTTAGACATCGTGATGCAATCATATCCCATCTCAACTGGGCATGTATATTTCTAGGCTTTCACAGTTTTGGTTTGTATATTCATAATGATACCATGAGCGCTTTAGGGCGTCCTCAAGATATGTTTTCAGATACCGCTATACAATTACAACCTGTTTTTGCTCAATGGATACAAAACACCCATGCTTTAGCACCTGGTGCAACGGTTCCTGGCGCAACAACAAGTACCAGTTTAACTTAGGGGGTGGTGGTGGTGGTGGTGGTGATTTAGTAGCAGTGGGTGGCAAGGTGGCTTTGTTGCCTATTCCATTAGGAATCGCGGATTTCTTGGTACATCACATTCATGCATTTACGATTCATGTGACGGTATTGATACTCTTGAAAGATGTTCTATTTGCTCGCAGTTCCCGTTTGATACCAGATAAAGCAAATCTTGGTTTTCGTTTTCCTTGTGATGGACCTGGAAGAGGGGGTACATGTAAAGTATCGGCCTGGGATCATGTCTTCTAGGCTAATTCAGCAGCCTTTTGTTCAATTTCTCGTGGAGTCAAATTCTCATCAGTACGAGTCAAGGGAATGGACCCCTGGCCTCGGATGTCCATATAAAGAACACGACGAGCATAAATACCCTCTTTAACTTCTATTCTAATGGACTGAATATCTTTTATAAGGAATCGGAGGAATATGCGACGATTTTTTCCCGGAAATCCCCAACGAAAAATACAGACTATTCCTTCCTTTCTATCGAATCGATCATAACCACTACCTACATTCCAGGAAATTGTGCACCATAAATAAGAGCTAATAAAGAGACCCGCAATTCCGTAGAAAGACATCACGATTCCTTGTGGAAAAAAAATGATTTGCTGAGGCGGAAAAAAAGATATCAAATTTCTACCAAGATAACTGGAAGTTCCAACTAATAAGTTGTATTTTCTAACACTTGTTCCATAGGTATTTAAAGTGGCGGGTCGAGGATCTTAGCTTACTGGGTTATATTTACATATAACTCACTCCTTACCTGCATTGATCTATGCAGATACTATTGGTGAAGATAGATTTAATAGCTGACGAGTTCGCTAGAATTGATTCG